ACGTCCTGTTTTAAAAGGAAATGTTCACAAAAACAAATCATAGGAATTTTCTGGTTTAAATAAAATCCTCCATCTTCAGGATACCAAGGAAAGTGCTGAGGTGAATCCATGGCTTCCCCAGAGCACTGCAATGATGAATGAAAACATGCTGTAAAGCTCGATATATTATCTAAGCTCCCTGCCTTCACTCCGTGGAAGGTTATATTTCTACTCCCAGTCCAAGAGATATTAATAATTTTATTACCTGTGCATATGCAAAATCACACTGGTAGTCAATGCAAACATAAATTTCCCCACGTGTTTTCTAGCATGTGAAGCTCTGCTCATATCCATGTGCAGCCAAAAAATTTTTTTGATAAAGGGGTAATAATTTTAAATCAAAACCAGAAATTAATCCATCTGTTTCATATTTCCAGTCTACCAAGTGGCAACTGTCCTTATTCACAAGGAGAGGAGCATTCCAGTGGCATTATACTCTGTGTCATGGACAAGATCTTTTTCCCCACTGTGGTTTTCCCTGAAATCTGTAAAAGATGCTGAGAAAAAATTATAAATGTGCTATTATGAAAAACTTAATTTATTGAACAGCTAAAAAGTACTTCTGTAATTAAAACTAGATATATTCATATCTACATATTTTAGTGTGAGAAGTATGCTTTGACTAGTATTTCTTATCAGACAAAGGGAATCCTAGTTTGACCCTCAGTCCAACATTCCCATGCTTTCATTGCTTACAGCAGGCCTTTGAAATTCATCGAGAAGAAAACCCCGAAGATGAATACCTGTAGTGTCTCTCATGAAATTCCATTTGTCTATGTCCCAGGTACATGCGTGGTGTCAGTCCCATCTGTCAGCGAAGCCATGGCAGCATGCCAAAATAACAACTGAACAGGAATGCTTGGACACACAACAAAATAACCAGAAGCACCTGCTACATCAGGAGCTCTGTGCAGAAAACCTCCCTGAGTAAAGAGCAGGGAGGGAAATCGAAACCACCTTCTCTTCCTTGCAGTCTCCCTCAGATGTGTTGCATGGCCTCAGGGTCTCACTCTCAGCTCTGAAGGAACCATGAAACCATGAAAGACTTTTCCCACCTTCTCCATATAAGCAGAGACCCAAAGCAGGATTTTTCAAATATTTCACAAAGCCAGTACAAGCCCCAAATATATCTTCTCTTGCTAAGATATTCCTTCAGACAGCTGCAGTAGTTATTCAGAGTTCAGGCTAACTGTGGATGCTCAGAGCTTGATAATACTGATAACATTTGATAATAACATTGCCACATATGCTCACAACAGAATTATTTCCAACCCATGTGAGACCTAGGAGATGTATCTAACAACATTAAAATAAAACTGTGACACTTGTTGAATAGTCAAAAATCTGTCAGCTAAAAAAGGACAAAATTAAGATTGTCTGGCATTTTACTTCAGTCCTCTTGTACTTATAGCTGAGACAATCCTTCATGGCATGGCATGGTGAGTTCAGGAGTCTTCAGGAGTCTCTGTCCTTCTACTGCGCAGGTGAGACAGTGCAAAGGTCATCTGAGATTGGGATGAACCATAGCTGGTTACCAAATGTTTCCCTGGCACATTTCTTCCAGAAGGCTGGAAGGATTCTCCAGGAGGAAATGGTCACTTTTGTGGCTCCTGCAGATACTGCCATACAGAAGAGCTCAGTGTCTGGAGATCTACAAGCAGGCATGTGGGAAGCTGGTCTGGCAGGGGCTTCACAAGGACCTCTTGCTGAAAAAACACCAGAAACAGTTGTTATTGTTGTTAGTTGTTAGGATAAAATAGCACATTCCCATAGTAAATTGCTGCAGAAGGAAGAAAACCTTAAAGAGGGTTGGGGGATATGTTGAATTATGCAGTTCATTTAAACAATTTTTTTCCTGCAGATACATTTGGAGTTGATTAACGTATACAGAGATATTTGGCGCCCTGACTGCAGTGAATTTCCCTTCAAGCAAAGTAACAGTTCTTTTACTTCTTTTCATTCCCTGAGTTCCACCAGATATAAGAAAACAAAGTGTACCTGGAGCATGAAAAGGGCCCCTATGTCCTAAAACAGTGTAAAAGCCCACTTCATTAGCACACATCATTAAGCATTTCATACAGAAAGGCACCATCTGCTCCTGAAAATTCTGGGACCTCAGCACAGAAGGTACTGATTGCCCTCAGCAAAGAGGGAGAGCACTTTTGACTGAGCCTGCTAGACTTGGAACTGGGGGTATTTTGCCAAAATTAGGGTTTTTCTTTGTTGTACTGACCACTTCTCCCCTGATCTTGCTGGATATCAAGAGCAGTGTCCAGTTCCTTCCCACTTGTTGCTGGGTTCCTGAGGATGGAAATTTATGGACTAGTTGGACAGTAGTATTCAAAATTCATCAACTATGAGTACCCATTTCCCCCCCTGTAATCTCACAGCATCAGGCAGATGCATCCTTACACCTCCATACAGAGGCTTACTCCAAAGCAAACTCTGGGCTTAATTCTGGCACTGGTTTCCATTCACAGTTCCTGATTGTGACCCCAAGAGCAAGAAGGGCAGGGCCAATGTCACAAATTGGGTCTTCAGTGCCCCAGCTCTGTCCTGTGTCCACATCATTGTGGCCACATCAGCAGGTAAAATATGCTGCAGCCTTCAGGATCACACTGCTCATAAACTGTGAGCTCACCCTGAGAGTTCCTCAGAACTGACTGTCAGACCAAAGAGCTGCAGCTGAGGGACGTGGCTACTGCCATGGTTTTGTGCTGAATGAGTAAATGTCTGGTTTTTCAGGGAAATGATTGCACAAAACAAGTTTCATTACTGAGAAGAAAAGACATTCATGAAGACTTTGCGTTTCCTTAATGGCCAAGAAACCCATTATAATTAAGGATAAACCATAGTTAATAAAGATGTCAATCGACTTATTTGGAATATTTGTATCATATTTAAATATCTGTAAGCTTATATCAGATCCATAGTATATACTGGTAGTGCGCACTACAGAATTCTGGTAGTTTTCCCTGTAATTTTGTAAAAAAATAGTGTAATATTTTTAGGAAATTCCCCCCAAAAAAGAAAAATCCTAATAAAATACATACTGTTATGTTTAATGATGTACATTACTGGAATAATACTGATTTCAAAACTAAAATCAGTATTTGAAACCTGTAAATCTTTTATTCAAACAAAACAAGATAGTCTTAATGAAAAAAATTCTAAATTTATGAAAATAATTTTCCTATCTGTTGTACAATCATGCTAGAATTATTCATTTTCACAACAAACTAAATATTTTATCAAAGATGTGATACTATTTGAAAACTAAGCGATATTATGTCTAATGCCATGAAAATTACCATCTCTGAAAATGACCATCTTATCACAATTGATAAAATTATCAACTAGGGGTTGCATATCTGGCAATGTCATCTAACCAACAGTCTTTTCCTATTTTCCAAATGTGATAATGTGATAAGTTTTTTCATGGTTATCAGCCTAATTGTCCCTGTGCTTTGTTCTCTTTTTTAATGCAAGACCAAAAAATAGATAAAACCTCTCAGCAGGTCTTTTATTCTACCCTTCATTTGCCCAATTACTTGTTAGAAACTCTGGGACTTATCTGAAATGCAGAGAATGTTTTTTTCCTACATCATTAGTGTGAAACTGGATTATATCCCTCAGAAATGCTTCACTTTTATTGCTTTTTAAAAATCATTTTTGTAGGCTGAATTATTTCCATTTGTAATTCTGGAAGTACTTACTGACCACCAAATTACTGACATCCCTTTCTTCTGAGTACTTTTGCCCGCCTAACATCTGATTGCAATGATTCTAGCACTGTTAGGCATTTTATTCATAACAGAGTGTTTTATTCATAACAGTTCTTTATAAAATTGTGGGGCCATGTTTCACAATGTAATATTCATTTTTCTTATGTGTCTTTACTTATTATATATTAATACATTTGTGAAAAAAAAAGGTTCATAAACTTTTCCTGCAAAAATAAGTTTCTTCAAGACATTTGGTATGTTGCTGTAGTGCATAGTCATTCCTCATCATTCCTAGTAAAGAGAGAATTAGCATTCCTTCAATCACTTATCTTTATAAGAATTAAAATTCTTTCCAGGATATTTAGTTCTTACGCATTTTATCACAGCACGTTTATGTTATAAACATGCACTTTCTTGTTAGGAATTACATTAATTTTCCAGTTAGTTATCAAAGCAAATTACTTCTAAATTTATAGCACTCTGACATAGATTTACAGAATTAGAGCATAAATCTTCCTTGCTATCTTCAAAAACAGAGGATGTTACGTGCCTTTGCCCACTCACAGTATGTAACCAGATGTGCTTGTTCTCTTAAGAAAAAAAATTATTCTCTCCTTATCTAAATCATATGTGTCTGTGATTTGATGAATATGTTCCTTCAATTGCTTCATCACCTTCCTAACAAAGTTATTTTCTAACAGGGAAGACAAGGCACTGGCAATATTGAACTTATTGTTTCTCCCCAAATTTATACTGCATACGTGAAGCGACCTTGAATTAGAGTCTAAAGCAGCACTGGTGCTTCCTCAGAAGTACAGAACTAAGGAAGTTAATTAGTTTAGCCATGAGGATAAAGAGGATTCTACAGGGCCAGTCTAGTGCAGGAATAACACTCTTTATTATTTTAGTATCAAGATGTCTTTCTCTTGATTTCCCATTTCTCTCACAAGGCTGATTTGATACTTGCTGATGATTCATTATTATTTTTCTCTTGCTGAAAGCAAAGAAAACTCTCTCACTCCAGAACAAAACAGAATTCAAGCAAAACACTTCTCCAGCACTTCTGAGTCTCAGTTGCTCTTTTTGCTGCAGTGCATCTCTGGCACTATGCTCACAGTCATGCCTCTGCTCTATTACTAATTTTAGCCTTTGGATACTTCAGCTGTGAGCCATAGCCTCTTTTTAACCACAAATTACTTTCTGGGTTCCTATGGGCCTGTTCATGTTCATGTTTTTCTCTTCTGACTCTCCTTTCTCCCAAAGGGGAGTGAACCTCTACTATCCTTTCATGCAATGGCCTTTCTTACTTGATAATTGTTTTCTTCTTTTCCCACCTCCATTTCAGCCTATTTTCTCTCCTCATTAATGTAAGTACTGACTTTTTTCCTTAAGAACATTTTTTCTAAAAATACCCTCCAGCGGATAGAATTGACTAGAGTTTTGACTGAAAATTTTCCCTATTAAAATTGAATTGGTAAACTCAGTAAAAAAATTAGAAAGACAGAGAGAGAAAAGAGAGAGGATACAGAAAGCAAAATATGAGACATGTTATTTAACATTTTCTGGGAAAAATTTCTATGCTTATCTTAGAAATGTCTTTCGGAGAAGATTTATGCATGATATGAAGTCAAAGAAGAATGAGGAGTTATTTCACATACTGTAATGGTTATCTCCAATATTGATATTAAATGTCAATATTGATTACCAATATTGGTCATCATATGGCCATCTCATACTAACCCATAAACTTTTTTTTACATTTCTATTTTCTTTTTTTTTTATTTTCTATTGGGGTTTTTTTCATAAAAATATCTGGTACATTTCTGATTAGTGCTATAATAATACCTATTATTGTGATTATATGAAAGCAAGGTTTATAAATAAATTATTCTAAAGACCTAACTCCAGCAACTGTAGATATAATGTTTTGAAAAATGGAAGCAAGTCAAATATTTGACAAGAAGTTAATCAACTGGAATCTCTATGGGAAGATTTACTGTTCTATTGTATGGAAGTACAGCCACACAAGCACCCATACATACATGTGTGAGTAGGTGTCTATACACACTCTGAATATCTAGAATATTTAAATTCCAAACAAAAGATAGAAGCCTCTTGATCTGTCATCTCAGTAAGCTCAGAGCTTAATGAGTGAAGCATGAGAAGCAATGCAGAAAGTAATTACTCAGAAGAGGAAATCAAGTACCATTTCCCTTCCTGATGTAACCAAAGATAAACTGGCAAATGTCACAAAACTTTACTAATGTATTAGGATAATTTGCTGCTCTTGAAGCATCATTATACTAGTGAGTCAAGGGGCATTCTAACATTAAAGCACATAATTTAATATAAAAGCTAAACTTTGCAGAGACTTAGCTTCCAACCAATTGTGGCAGTGTTAGCTTTATAGTTGGGCTTGATGGTCTTAAGGGTGTTTTTCAGTCAAAATGATTCAGTGATTCTATTAGAGGTAAATAACTAAAATGGCATATCTGACATATTCAGAGAAGACTTGAGTGGTGAGCTAGCCAACAATTTTTCATTAAGGTTATTTTCATTAAAACAGAAAATATCTGTTCCATGAAATTGAGATTTTCTAGTGGCTGTCTTCATTTTTCTCTTCTGTTACTGATGAGAGCTGCAGCTACCCATGCCACAGTCCCCTGCATTTCATTTTGGGGAAAGCTGTAAAGCTAACAGAGCTCCCTGAATGGGCATCAGCAGAGAGGAGCAGAATGGCAAGCATTTCACATTTAGGTGCTGGTAACTCCAGCTGGTAACCCCAGCTAATATTTTCACTTATGGAAAGGAAGAGGAAAGTGAGCAGTACTTTCTGGGCAGGCAGAGAGTTACCAAGCCAAGACTCTGCAAATACTTTTTAAATTTTTTTTTTTAATTAAAAAAAATCTCCTTCTGTTGAAATAAAGTAAAAAAAAAAAAAAAGGGGTTTTTTTTTAATTAAAAAAAAACCCCTTTTTTTTTTTTTTTACTTTATTTCAACAGAAGGAGATTTTTTTTAATTAAAAAAAAACCCCTTTTTTTTTTTTTTTACTTTATTTCAACAGAAGGAGATTTTTTTTAATTAAAAAAAAACCCCTTTTTTTTTTTTTTTACTTTATTTCAACAGAAGGAGATTTTTTTTAATTAAAAAAAAACCCCTTCTGTTGAAAAAAAAAAAAAAAAAAAGTGATGTTGGAAACTGGAGGAGGGAGGGAGGTCTGTTCATCATACTTTTTACCCCCAGTTCTGGAGGCCAATATATTCCAAACTTTTTTACTAAGCCAAATGGATTTCTATTTTCCAAATATCTAGCTATTTGGTCAGATTTCCAACCACGTGCCAAACATACCTCATATATTTACATGGGGTTTCACTAGAGAAAGATTTGCATGGTTCACAAAAACCAGCCCCTTTCTGCTCCCACTGGGCCTTCCAGAAATCGTGTCCCACGCAGTCAGGGTGCTGCTCTCCATCCCCCCTGCCCAGCCCACTCTGCTCATTCCCACCTCCAGGAGGACCCGATCCTTCTCTTCTCACTCTCCCCACGCTCATGTGGCCCAGTCCTCACATTCCTTCATTCCACTGATCTTTCCTAGGCATTTACTTGTGTTTCCCAGATATCACTGTTCTTTACTGATAGAGAAAGGGTTACTCACTTTTTCCCTTTTGATTTCTAAGGAAATATCAGTGGTTAGATGGAAGCCAGAAATGAGTATGTGGTTTATATGACTTTTATAACTGACTTTTCTTTATATACCAGTACCATTTCAGTGTTTCATACAGTGTTAAATTTTTATTATACTGAAAACTGTAATGCATTTTTTAATATTTGTTTTATTTTATTTTCTCAATATGTATATGAACTTTTTTTTTTTTTTGTCGGATCATTAGCTGTCAGAATTTTTTTATTCTTTCACAAATATAGTTTATTTTTTAAATCATATTTTTGTAAAAGAATTAACAATGATGGGAACACTGAGGGGAATTTATAAAACTGTTTGGGCAAAATAAATAAGGGGGCTTGCTGTGGTTTTCCACAAATAACATTTGGTGTAGTATCCACTGGAACTTGAGCTGAAAAATGCCTTCCCTCAAAGTAGCTGCTGTGCTTTCCTCTCAGTGAAGGAAGAAAAGATCACCAGCTGCCAGAATCAATCTACTACACAGTAGCAAGTAAATGTTTCAGCACAAAGATGTTATTTATTTAGTTTGTCACCAGGCATGTAGAAGAAAATAAGATTGTCAGGAGTAGTTAGCATGGATTCACCAAGGAGGAAGCATGCTTGACCAATCTGAGAGCCTTCCATGATGACTTGGCAGGATGGGTCAGTGTGGGGAGAGCAGTGGATGTTGTCTACCTTGACTTCAGCAAGGCTTTTGACACTGTCTCACACAACATCTTTGCAGGTGAGCTTAGGAAGTGTGGGTTAGATGGACAGTGAAGTAGATCAAGGACTGCCTGAATGACAGAGCTCAGAGGATTGAGATCAGTGGAAGAGAATCCAGTTGGAGGCCTGCAGTTTATGGCATTCCCCAGGAATCAATAGTGGGTCCACTTTTACTCTACTTGTTTGGCAATGACCTGGATGAAGGGATAGAATGTACCCTCAGCAGGCTTGAAGATGATGTGAGACTGGGGAGAGTGGCTGATCCATCTGAATGCTGTGCTGCCATCCAGTGGGACCTTGGTAGGCTGGAGAACTGGGCAGAGACAAAATGAGGTTTAACTCATAGGAAGTGTAGGGTCCTGCACCCGGGGAGAGATAACCCCAAGTACCAGCTGGGGGATGACCTGCCAGAGAGCAGCTCTGCTGAGAAGGATCTGGGAGTCTTGGTGGATAACAAACTCTTTGTGAGCCAGCAGTGTGCTCTTGCTGCAGGAGGGCCAGTGATATCCTGGAGGCATTGGGAAGAGTGTGGCCAGCAGGTCAAGGAAGGTGATTCCACCCTCTACTCAGCCCTGGTGGCCACACCTGGAGTGCTGTGTCCCATTCTGGGCTCCTGAGTACAAGACAAGGAGCTACTGGAGAGGTCCAGTAAAGGCCACAAAGATCATGGAGGAGTCTGGAGTATCTCTCTTATGGGGAGAGATTTCAGGAGCTGGGCTTGCTTAGTCTATATAAAACTGAGAGGGAATCTCCTTAATGCATATAATATCTCAAAGGCAGGCACCAAGACAATGGTGCCAGACTCTTTTCAGTGCTGCCCAGTCACAGGACAAGGAGCAACGGTCATAAACTAAAACACAAGAAGTTTTGCCTCAACACAAAGGTCTTCTTTATGTTGAGGGTGGCAGAGCACTGGAAAAGGCTGACCAGGGATATCACGAAGTCTCCCTCTCTGGAGACATTCAAAACTCACCTGGGTGTGTGACCTGCTCCAGGTGACCCTGCTGTGGCAGGGGGTTAGACTGGGTGACCCGCAGAGGTCCTCTCCAATCCTAACAATTCTGTGATTTTTTTATAGTTATTAACACAAACTTATACTGTGATGACAGAGAAAGAACTAGTAGAATTTCAGAGTGAAATAGTATTTCTACAATTGATGAGCAAGATATCAGTCAAAGAGCTTGACATTAAATGATTTTCCCCAAAGCCGAAACAAACACAAGGTCAGTTATGTTGATTCAATGGATGGGTGACAACATATTAGTTTACAACAACTCAGCTCTGTTTGGCTTTGAGCCCTGGTCTTCCACTTACAGACTCTGTGTTTCCACCTGTCCCACTCACTGTAGTATTAACTCTTCAGTGATGCTATTAATATTTGCTATTAATATATGCTATTAATATTTTACTATGTAAACCTGCCACCCACTATATTGGGACAAACCAGTGTGTACTGGTGGAGAACATCAGTAGCTGTCACATTTTATAAGTTTCAAATTTATTATAAAGTGGGGCATTATTAGTTTATTCTATATGTATAAAATCACTAATTCAGAAAAACCAGTTATGTGCCTTAGTAATGCACTTAATGTGCATTAGAAAAACCACTAATGTGCATTACTGTGTGTTTACCACCATGGGCCCAAACACATACAAATAACTGCATCAATGTGCAAAAATAAACATTATGTCTTGAATTTTTTATGGAAATACAAAATTTTTATTCCATGTGTTTTATGTCATAATACCATCCTCAGAGAATCTGTTTCTTACAGATTTTAGTCATTCAGTTGAAGCTTAGAAAGCCTCATCAAAGCCTGTAAACTAATGAGTACACTCTTAAATAAGGCCAAACCAAACAAACATTGGCTTTTGCAGGGGGTGTAAATATATTCAGAAAATAATTATGCTTGACACTGTTGGAGTTTGACCTCCTGGAGCCCCCAAAGCAATCATGTACATGACAGAACAAGGGAATTCTGACATAATCTCATGAATATAACAGTTTAATAAATTATAACTTGTACAGTGAGCCACAGCACATGGGATTTAGCTGCCCTAAAAGGAAGAGGAGACCACCAGGTAGGTTCACCTATCCTGAGCAAATTACTTCCTAATCCATCTCATCTGATACTACTGTTATCATGTTAACTGCCACAGTCACATTCCAAGAAAAAGACAACTTCAAGCATGGATCTGTATTTAAAATATCTTGTCCATTAGCCCAGAAAGTAAAAAAGAGATACCAAAACAACTTTTGTAAAATCTTTATGTCCTGTATTTGCAATGTTAACGCAGTCTGTCATTAGAGCACACAGGGACCAGTGACTAATGCACATGAAGCTACTGTGAATTAGCTGAAGTGTTGTCATTATTTTTGCTCATAGATGTGAATACCAGGCGTTCTGATGCTGTTCCTCAGAGTGCAAATATTGGCACACCCTGCTCAAATACAACCACAGAAAGAAAACACAAGAGAAAGAAAAATACTTCCAAGTGCAGATGCCGTATCATCTCTTAAAGTATTTACAATTAACATGTTCACACCCAGCATGACCATAATTACAACATACACAGAAATTCCATGCCTCCTCTGCAGCAACACATTTGTGTGTATGACCACTAACAAAAAGGCACCTGTTTTTTACTTGCTGTTACATTGACTTTACTGCCCTCTCCCTTGACTTTCACATTTTCCCAGTTTACAAGATCTTTTTGGTATCTTGGAGCAATGGCTCAACATGGTAGGAAACATTGGATAGCTCTTATTATTATTCACTAAGACGTGAAAGAATGTCTTTAATTCTTGGTTTACTCTTCAAACCAAACAGTACCTGCAGTACTAAACAGTCACTTGACTGTCAGCTTCTTCTTGATACATAAGAAGCTGGAATAAATATCGTGTATTTGCAAAGACTATGGATGTCTTAACTGATTGAGTGGGAGGACGGGACAGCTGGCTTGCAAATATAGTGCAAAATATGTGAACACAAGAAAAAAGAAGTATACATTGTCCTAACAAAATCAAGATAGCTCCTGTGGATTCCTAAGTACGTCTGTATCTGAACACACTCTATTATTTTTTACACAGATATATAAAATCTATCAGTTCTCATACATTTTAGAGTTTGGTGAAATCCAGCTCCGTGCCAGGAGCCAGTTATAAGATCAATGCACCTTTGAAGTAGTGCCTAGGTTTGTGTTGACCTTTGATAAGAGGATAAATTTCACTCTGTGTCATTAGTGCTGCCCACAAACATAAAAGGGGTATGTTTGCCTTGCCTTAACATCTTTGATATTTACCCACTGCTTTGCTTGAGATATCAGGTATAAAGATGACCCTATCTTTCCTGACTATGCTGAAAAGGAGAGATATTTGTATTTAAAATAAGGTTCAAACCCAGGCCGGAAAGATAGTGCCAGCTTTTGCTGAACTTTTCCCTAGCATAGTGCAAGAAGCCAGCAGAGGTGAGCTGATGCAACTTTGCTGTAATAAAAGACTTCAAAACCAGACGTGATTTGTCAACCCAGAGGCCAAAACTTAGCCCAAGAGAAAAGGTTATGATACCACAGAGATCAGACATTGCCCAGTGACCGTGATACCCCACCAAGAGCAGAGGAAAAGATCAAAGCCAGCAGTTTTCCAACCATCTGAGGGCATGAGGCACAGTGGGTGAAGGCTAGCCCTGTCCATGGGTGCAAACCTCACCATCCTGCCCTGGTCAGCCCACTGAAGCAGGGGGTTGAATTTGGCTATGACCACTTTGGGCTAACACTGCTTCCCCTGACACTCACATCAAGTCCTTGACAGGGGGAGGAGGGGGCTGAGCTTAGGAGGTGGGCTACAAAACAAAACACACTTTAAACACAAACTCTTCTGCTATCCAAAGGATACCTGGAAGTACTACCAGGCAGCTTGGCTGCTCTCCAAAGCAGGTAGGTGCCATCCCTTAATCTCAGCCCTGCCACTTCTCCTCTCCACACCTGCTCACAGCCAAAGGGCTGCCCAAGGCTGCCCAGCTGCCTGATGTGCTGCAGGCAACGCTGGCTGCCAGCAGGACAGGAGTGACCAAGGCCAGCTCTGCTTGTCAATAAAACAGGCCTTGACCCATCCTTTCAGCCTGGTGTGATTGGGGCTTCTGCATGTGACTGAAAGACACATAGACAGAGAGTGAAAAATTAATCTGATTTGGGGAAATTGGTTCAAATTAGGTTTGTGATCCTTAAGAAGGTGGGTAGAGGCTAAGGTTCAAATTCCCAGTGTCTCACACACTAACACAGACCATGATCTTCTTTAGTGTGGAGTCTTTTTTGACAGAAAATTAAATACAGGAATATAAAGGTACAAATATATATATTTCATAATGCGATTCCTTAAAAATAATTTGCTGATAAAACAAGATTTCTTCTACAAACAAAGTGTCATATTGGTTGTCAGTTCTCTATTAATTTATCAGTTCTCAATTTCAAAAAAAAAAGGGCTATGCAGGGCCTATGTCCCCAGGAGTTCCTCTGGCAAATGGGTCCCTTAGAATCTGGAAGACTGCCCAATTACAATTTAAAGAAATTTACAGCAAGGATGACTGACTACAGACAGTAGTCTCTAACAGCATCAGGAAAATAGAAATAAAGGCTGTGAGAGTATGATTTTGTGTGTCAGAGCACTTTGTTTTCTCATATTAGTGAAGTGAGGACAATTTTTCTTGTTAAGTTTTGCAGTGAGTGGAATCAAGGTCCTATTTGCTTTTTTTTTTCTTTCTTCTTTTCTTCTCTCTCTCTTTTACTGAGTGCAGACTCTCTACTAGCATGAAAAACTTACATTGTTTATTATGGACTCTTTTTAGACTTACATGTGGTAACAAAAAGGGGCCCTTAACTTAAAATTCTGCTATGGGCAGAATGAGGAGAAAATACAACATTGCTTTTAGCTCTGGGCTTGGGCAGGGAAGGGGTGGATGTCTTCTTCCCCTGGGAACTAAAAGGAGCTGCCAGAGAGCTGTTGCACTGGAAATTCCACCCAGAGCAGAATTGTTTAGATCAGAAAGGACCTCTAATAACACTGAGTCCCAGCCATTAACCCAGCACTAACTCCACCACTAAACACTGTCCCTAAGTGCCACATCTACATGTCTATTAAATATCCCCAGGGATGTGATTCCAACACTTCCCTGTTCCAACACTTGATCACTATTTCAGTGGAGAAATTTTTGCTAATATATGATGTAAATCTCCACTGGTGCAACTTGTCATCCTGTCATGTATTACATGTGAGCAAAATTCAGCCTCCGCCTGGCTACAGCCTCCTTTCAGGTAGTTGTAGAGTTAAGGGCAGGTAAGCAATAAGGTCACCCCTGAGCCTCCTTCCCTCCAGGCTGAACACCCCGAGCTCCCTCAGCTGCTCCTCAAAAGATTTGTGCTCCTGCCCTTCTCTGGACACACTCCAGCATCCCAGTGTCTTTCTTGTAGAGAGGGGACAGAACAGAACACAGGGTTTGAGGTGTGGCCTCACCGGTGCTGAGTACCAAGGGACAAAAATTGCCCTGGTCCTGCTGGCCACACTATTTTTCACCAAAGGAACTGTGCACCTCTCCAAGTCGTGATCAGTTAGTTTCTCCAGGAGAATGCTTTGGGAGACAGCTTCAAAGGCTTTAATAAAGTGCAGGTAAACCCTCTTCCAAGGGTCAATTTATCACAGAAGTACCATACCTAAAGGGGGCTTACTAGGAAATTGGGGAGGGACTTGTGGGGTCTAGGAGGGTCATGTAGTGATAGGACGAGGACAAATGGCCTTAAAATGAAGGAAGGTAGGTTTGGATTCGACATTAGGAAGAAATTCTTTACTGTAAGAGTAGTGAGACACTGGACTGGTTTGTCCTGAGACGTTGTGGACTCCCTATCCCTGGAGGTGTTCAGGGCCAGGCTGGACAGGGCTCTGAGCTCCTGGTCTAGTGGAAAGTGTTCTTGCTCATGGAAGGGGAGTTGGAACTAGATGATTTTTAAGGTCCTTTCCAACCCAAACTACTCAGTAATTTTATAATATCAGAGATCAGGATCAGAAGATCAGATCAAGAGTTAAAAACATTTTCAGGAGCTAAGGACTTTTCCTAGCTCTCTTTCTAGTTTCTGGGAGTTGTCCATAGAAAGAGGTTGTACCATTGTGCCTGGAACAAGGATTGTTCACTCATGCAATTCCATTTCCATCCCATGGCCATCATAAGTATTCCAATCCAGTATTGAGCTGGTGCAGGAGTGGCCAAATGATTCAGAAACATCTATCATTATAATCAAGTCCATTTGCTCTTTTTTATTGCAAATATCTCCTGCCTGACTCACCTTCTAGTGTGTTTGAACCTCACTGTTTTAACTTTGCAGCTTCCAATCTGACCTTCTGCCTCAACAGCATGGCTATGAGTCAGTGCACTGCCCAGACATGCACTGGCAGCTTCTGGTTACCAGGATGAGAGAAAACAAGGCAGTCCAGGTCATGGTGTACAGGCAGGAACCCTTACCACCCTAAACTGCATGGTCTCACCCATGAAGAGAATGGCCTTTGGCCTGCGCTATCCTATGAAAGGCTTCGAGGTATTATCCGAGGCAGGGTAAGTATGCCAAAACTGTAACATGGGGCTAATTTCAATGGTCACAGAAAAAGTTCATTTTCACATAGCTAGATCCCATAAATCCTCACAATCACTCACTTAAAAAATTTATTTGATTTAGGACTGCTGCCATGATTTCTCAGTCAGGGAGAAATTATGTAGAGCAGCTAATAAGCTGACCAAGTAGATAAATGAATAAATAGATACGTTCACACTCTTCTCAAGTAATAATAGTGCAACAAAGCATAATACTCATTAGAAATATCTGAGCTATCTACAGGTCAAAGAAAAACAGGTCTTCTCTTCAGGTTAATAATAACATTATTAGAACTTATCAACGTCTTAAACATTGATCATAAAAATATGACACTAACATTATTTCTGGAAAAGGACACTACATTTTATGTAAAGAATTCTGTAGCATTATCTCTTTCCTCTTACATTTTCAATTATTTGCTCTCTAATTCTACCCTCCACCAAGTTCAAGAACCTGACAGGATTCTGTACGTGATTAAAGAAATGATAGCTTGAATTGCTCTGAGTATCTTCATTGGCATCAGATCAAAATAATTTCAGATCAGTGTCAATTCCCAAGCAATATCGTCATGATGATCTCACTGCCTTGCAGGAGAATCTAAAGGCCAGCCCTCAGTGGAAAGTGTCATTTGCTACCTCTGGCAAAGAGGAAGACCTTGCAGCCAGGTCCAGCCCTCAGTGGAATGTGTCATTTGCTTCCTCTAGCTTACCTGCCACCTTTCACCCTGTACCATGCAGGTACACCCTGTACCATGAAGGCTTCTTCATCTCTTTCAGGACAATAAGCCCCCTGAGTCATATATGACAGAAATAGGCCGTGGGTTATTCTTATGTTGGAAAATGGGTTATTCTTATAAAAGTGAATCCAAATATTTCTGACACACTTTGGATACATACTAGCTAAGGCACCAAACATACTGTTTTTATGATATTGGCAAAATACATAATTAGAATTGTGCATGTCCATGTTTAATTGATTGATACTAATTTCCTTTACAAAAACAACATTAAGAAAATTATTTTTTGGAGGAATTGGATGAAGTGTGTCATAATATTTAATGATTGTACTTGTTCCAGTGTTTGAATTAATGACATGTCACCTTACTGAAAGATGGATTTATGAGTGATTTAGCTTCAGCTCACTTCCTCTGTTTATCATCTTTCACCACAATGGGAAATATGCCTTTCAAACAATTCCAAAATAAGAGAAAAAATAAAATTGATGATGACAGTTTCCCAGTATAATTGTCCTGAATGTTTAACATTTTGACATCTGCATTATTAAACCAAATTGCTTCATTTTCATTCAGTGACTACAAGTGGAATTGCAAATCTTGCAAATGTCAGTGAACAGCATGCACAGGAAACCTCTGCTTCTTTGTAATGTACAAAATGTGTCCTTGGGCAGATTAACCGTACCATGGACATTGGCTGATTCAGCACCACAAAAACACAGCTGTGCTGCTTCTTCAGCTGTCTTGGGTCTGGTATTAGTGTTATGGCTTTCATATCATTACCTGTCTGAACTAATAATCTGTCCAGAACTTTACTTGGCTTCAGGAAGGGTGGGCAGACTTCATGTCCTTCCCAGAACAAGAAGTCCAGAAGAAAACAAGGTGCAGAGAACCAATGACCTCCAGTTTTAGTTACTACAGGTGAGCTTTGGTTTATTAATTTATTAACAGGAGTTAGGCTTGTAATCCTTGTGGGTCCCTTCAGGATTCTATGATTCCATGGTTATGCTTTGTATTAGACTTCAAGGATTTGATGTTAGAGTGGAAGCTGCTGGAAGCAAAAGAAGGTGACAGTGTTGGTACCATGTTGTTCAGGGTGCACTAACTCAGGTGGCGAGCAAGTCTAGTGCAGAGCCTGACCTGGAAACTGATGCTGCACTTAGCTCTGGAATTGGAAGCACTGAGAAACATGGGCATGTGTAACGCCACAAACATGGCTCTGTATATTTATAGCTTTACAGTAGCTTTACAGGAACACAAAATCAACAAACAATTCAGTTTAGAAGGAACACCTGGAAACCTTTTGATCCAAGCACCTTCTCTAAGCTGGGCCTATTTTGAAGACAGTTCAGGTTGCTGAAAGGCAGACATTGCATTGAACCAGTCAACACTGGTGATGTCCAGAATTTTCCAATTTCTAGATGTTCAAGATTATTTATATTGAATAAATCAGGAAAACCACAGAATAAGTTCACTCTATCCTTCAGTCTTATCACTGACAGACTGTTTCATGTTAAAATATAATCAGCCCAGCTCTAACTTTCCTTATTCCTATGGAAGTCGGTAACAGATTCAATAAGTCAGTAGTACTTCCATAATGTGAAATGGGTATAAGTAAAAAGAAAATCAAAGCCAGATATTTTTACAGCAGTGATTTTATGGGAAAAGGCTTCTGCTCTATGGCTTTTTTCCTCAGTCTTCTTCCCTAAGGCAGAATCCAGTTTCCACTCTATAGCTCTCCAAGCCAAGGGAGGTGGAAAGCAGTCTGCAGCAGTGTGTATTGATCCTTCCTGAATGAAGAAGCTTTACGATAACTTCATTCCTCTTGCTTCATTTTACTTTATCTGTCACCTGGTCAGGCCTGGGGAACACTTACTGAACATCCAGGTTTTCAATGTATTCAGGGAGAAGGTGTGCTGGTTCTTTTAGGATGCAGCTTTCCATACTATAGAGATCTCAAAACTTATAAGGATGTTCTGTCATAGAATAAACTACCTTTATTTTTAACTACCTTATGCTACCATATAGAATAAACTACCTTTGTATAAGCACCTACACAAAGACATAACTGAATTCTAGGTTTGTGCAAAGTAGATTCAAGAGAAAGATTAAATCTCTAGTTAAAAAAAACCCAATGTAGCTTGATACAGTTAATTAGAAAGTAAATAAAACATTTACTAAACGATAGTTATGTGTAAGTATATGTAAGTATAGCTCATTTAGATAACCCTCAGTAAAAGAGCTGGGAGCTGGAAGCAGTCTTACCACAGCAGCATGGGGTACCCCTAAATGGAGCTTACTCCTTGCAGCAGCAACACAGGCTGTTCCTGTCCTCCTTACAAAACAGAATGCAGACAAAACATCCACTTGCATTCTTAAGTTTTTTGATCAAGACAGATTTATGAGGTGTGTAGATTAATCGTAAAGTTTTTGCATCATGATAATGCAATCCAGCCCTCATAAAATGAAAGCTATATATAAAAGTAGTCCAAAATGCCCTCATAGTTAATTAAGGAGAGACCTTAAAAAAAAAAAAAAAAAAAAAAGGCAAAATACCAATAACTTCAATGGTGCAAGCAGTACTCTTCAAACTCCAGTTCGTATCGCAGGCATTGAGATGAGGAAATCTGTTACGTCTGAGTCTGTATGCATTTATTATTTTGTTGTCAAAGAAGTTTTGAGATCCTTCAGAGTCTGGTTTTGGCTCTCTTTTTGTTGCCTCACAAGTTATAGCAGCCAGGAAAACCTCTGGCTGTCTTCTGGACCAGGGGTTTTCCAGATACTTGTTGAGGTTAAGAATTAGTTTTGCATGGATTTGGCCTAGAGAAAAGTGTTCAAGAGAACAGAATTTAAATATGCTAGAATCCCCAAAGCAAAGATAATCAGAAGCTAAGAAAATGTTGTAGTTTAAATACAGAATTTGAAAAATCCAGTGAGAGATGTCAGACACATCACAAAGTCTCTCTGTCTCCATTCTCCAGCTGTAAAATAGAGATAATATTTCTCCTCTAATTCTCCAGGAGGTTATAGCATAAATTCATTAACATTTTCAAGGCATTCAGATGTTGTGTGAATATCTGAGACCAAAAGAGGGAACTGTTGTTGGTGAATGAAGGCCTTATAACTTGTTATATAGATATAAGTCTTGATCCCTTTTATATTTCCCATGGAAATTTAAACTTAATTCTGGAAAAGAATGCAAGGACAGAAAATGGGTTCTTTGAGGACTAAAGCCAGGGATCATTAATATCTCTAAGGGTGAAAAAGACTAATAACCTCTTAATATTTGCAATCTCAGTTCCTATCCCTGTTCACATTCATATTACTTCTCCCTTTTCTGTCGCTCTTCTATTCCCTTTATTTATTATGAGTGGTAAAAGAACATTTCTATGTAGTATAATATCATGTTATTTTAATGAGACTGTCTGAAATTTACTCTTATTATTAATAAGGAAAGATAAGCAGTGAAATCTTGGCCTCATTGAGACCAGTGGGGTTTTTTTCTGTTGATCTCAGTGAAACCAGAACTTCATGCAGGAATCGATGCTGACACCTTAGACCTCGTGACAGCTTTGATATATCTTTGAGTGAAAGTGCATTGACTTTGTTGCAGATCCTAATAGGAAAACATGATTTCAATATCACTCTTTTGAGGGTTTATTTTCTACCCAAGAGAAATAATCGGTACCCAGAATAACAGTTCATTCAGCAGGAGAGTGGTCTCAAACACACTTGTATTCTGATTCCCTCAGTGCTTGAATCATAGATGAAGGCAAATTTGAGGTGACCTTTTGGTCTCTTTCCTTCTATGGTTGCATGACTGCTCATAGGCAAATAGTAGAACATATTAAGAACAAGGAGTATTGTCTGACTGGAAGAAAACATCTCAATGCAGCTATGAAAGGTCTGCCTAGTCTTATTAAATAATTCTTTAAAAACCTCAGAGATGTTTGTATTTTGTCTGAAGTGCTGGTTTATCAAAACATATGACAGTCTGTAAGATATAAACAGAATCCACCATAAAGAATAAGTATTTGCATAAGACATTTAGAAGGTCAACAACCAAAGGAAAAGAGGTATAACAGCAAGACAGTGAAACAGAAAAACAGTGAATAAAAGGTATTAACAACTTTCCTTTCATATCTTCTTTCCTTTTTGCTTCTGTATCCAATAATACACTTCAAGTAATGACTTATAAACAAGTAAATAATTGTTTACTCTGATGGCATTCTTTACAAGGAGCTAAATGTGTGGTCCACATCTCAAAGGGCAAGCTGATCATTGTTCTGCTTTTGATGGATGCTCATTTCCCAGCAGCTATTTGTTAGGAAAATTATTGAAATGCAGACATCCTTGAAACTTGTTAGAATTAAAATGTCTCCAATCTTCGAGTACCTGTTGAATCAACTTGGAGAGAAGTAGAACTCTTAGAGTTGTGACTGACACAAATCAAAAATTAAAAGTATTGATTTTGTGACTATGTATTATTTACAAAATAAGAATGATATCAGGAGTTTTCATAATTGCAAAAATACCAATTACATTCACATGAAAGAGTGTTATAGTACATTTGATGTTCAATTTGATCTTTTCAGCACTGTAGATACCTAGGGCCCAAGGTATTTGTTGTCATTCCTTAAAAATGTTCCAGTTGAAGGACACAATTGTCACCTTACTGAACTCTTCTCTGTGCCTTGCAGGTTTTCTTCCTGATTTCAATGTAAAATTCTTTTTCCAATACAAATGCATAAAAACCTAGGCCCTTTTTATTACATCCAACTTTGAAAACACATGAAAGAGTATGATCAGCCTTTACAAATAAATACGTCAGTTTTGTCTTTATTTGTCGACCACCAGAGATCTAGTGAAAATATTGTAATTTTTTTTAATGGTAGGATACTTCTTTGGTTTCTTATTACTCAGATTAATTCAGGAGAAAATAATTTCCCACCTTTCTTCTTTTTAACATAAGTGCATCTTTAAATTCCTAGTGGTTTTGGGGACTTGATTTGCCATCATTGATGATTATGAAATGAACTAAATCCTGTCAGTACAAACACAAGAGGAAAATTTAAAGGGTACCAAAGAAGATTTTTCATTTATTAATTAGAAAGGGATTGCTGCGAGATTTGTCCCTGCTGGTGAAAGCCTGAGATTTTCACTCTATTTTGACAGTTTTCCAGTGAGTAAGTTTTGTAAGGCTTACTCACAAGTACTAGATGACCCCAGAAAAACTGAAAATCAGTTATGACATTCAAATCAGAACACAAAGTTCCTATGGATCTGTGCCCAGAAGCTGCTCCTGTGGATACCCAGGCGTGTTTTGGTCTGGGGACCAAACAGTTGCCCAAGTTCTGTAATAACACAGTAATTCCTTGTTACACTGTAAAGCACAGTCACCGTGTTTTTGTGTACCAAAAGTCTTGTTGCTACCTCACCATTTTGTAGTTTTGCCATAAAGAATTTAGTGTTTATTAACCACTCTGCTCTGCTAACTGCTGCCACTATCCCACTCTTCTGTCCTTTGCCTTTAATTTACTTAATTGGCCTTCATAAGAAAAGAAGTGATGATGACTAGGATGAAAATATAACAACTCATGAAGAGGCAAAAAGAACATATGCACTAAAAGATGTATGTTAAGAGTTCAATGTTTTGTGAATTGATGAGCAATTCACAAAAGACACATGTCAAATGTTCAATATTTTGTGAATTGATGAGCAATTGTAGAATGGTGGCCTGCTCTAAGAAAGACTGGAAGAACCACCTGGGCACCACAAGACTCAGTCCCAACTTGCAAAGTGAGGTACCAATCAAAACCTCATAGCAGTATGTAGATCATATCCTGAGCTGTGGTTTAAAAGTCAAATGAGCATTTTAATTAGCATCTCAGCTGCTGAGAAGTCAGCTTCTCTCCCAGCTG